AAAAAAAAAAAAAAAAAAAGAAAAAGGGGGTAAAAAGTGACTTATCTTCAAAAGTTCCATGGTTTCTTTTCTTCCATATAAGGGCTTTAGCTTTGACATTCCACAAGATCTTGACCTTCCTTTGACACTCCTACTTGAAGAGCTTCCTTCGACCAATCATCCACATTTTGCATGTAGACATGGTAATAAACCATTCTTCTTTAAAATGAAGGACCAATCTGTTATGAACAACGAACCTCCACATTGGTGTGATATTGTCCACTTTGAGCATAAGTTCTCGTGACTTTACTTTTGGTTTCCTCAAAAGGCTTTATGCATTGGATATATTGTCCCTCACTTATATACCCATGATCTTCCCATTGATTAGCCAATGTGGGACTCCAACAATCCTCAACAATCCTCCTTTCGAACAAAGTACACCATAAAGTCTCCCTTGTGGTCTCCTTCTCTAGAGCTCTCGAACAACCTCCTCTTAATTGAGGCTCGACACCTTTCTTTGGAGCCCTCGACAAAGTACACCCTTTGTTTGACACTTGCACTATGACTATACCTTTGAGACTCATAACTTCTTGTTCGATGCTTGAGGATTCTATTGACATGGCTAAGTTAGGATAAGGGTATGACTCTTATACTCAATTAGGAATAACAGATCTTCATATTGGTATGATATTTTATCTATTTTGAGCATAAGCTCTCATGATTTTGTTTTTGGTTTCCCCAAGAGGCCTCATACCAATGGAGATAGTGTCTCTCACTATATTCCCATGATCTTCCCTTTAATTGGCCAATGTGTGACTCCAACCATCCTCAACACAATCTTTGTTAGCAAAAGGACAATGCTAGGCCGAGTGGTCCAAAGACTCATTCTCAATACAAGCAGCACATTGAAGGTGAAATAGTCCAATGGAAATTTTCTTTGAAGCTTCTCGTATACATTGAGACTAATGTAAGCAAGCAATCTTAAAAGGTACTTCACCTTTTCTGGAAATTTGTAACTCCAAACCAATTTAACTAAGGGAGCTTGTAATTTCAATGGTGTGGTGGAGAGCTTAAGAAAAGTAGACTCTGAGGAGAACTTTCTACCGGAATTGATTGTCAAAAAGACCTTATCATGACCCTCACCCAATCTTACCGAATCAGCCCATCTCTCTAGTTCTCTATCAAATAGCTTCTTCTCACTTCCAAATCTCGGCCTATTGATACTTAACCCAACAATTTGAGGTAAAAGCACCTCCCCCTTTTTTTAAGAGATCAAATATGCATTAAGAAACAGCTTTAAAAAGAAGGACAATATCAGCCTGAGGGTCTTCCCATGAGCAAATTCTTCTACCATTCTCCATCTTAAACTTGAAAGAGAAAGGAGGCACAGCCTTTAGCAATTTTAAACTAGATTTACCCTTGCTAGTACCTTTAGGGGGTTTAATTACCCACCTTGACATCTCAATCTCATAGATGCCAACAATAAATCCTATCTACAAAGTGCTATCCTTTTGCGTAAATCTCTATAACCATTTCATCAGAAAAGCATCGTTTCTCAACTTGAAAGAACAAACCTCAAGGTGTCTAAATATGTAGGCTTCGAGGACTACTTCCAGCTCATTGAGTGGAAACACAAGCTGTAAATGCCACCATTCCAGATGAAGTCCCTCATCAGTTTCTCTCTAGACTAAGATTTGGTGACTTTGATGTGAGCTTGAAGAAGGGATGAGTAGAAAATGGGCAAATGATATAAAATCAATTGAGCCAAAGTTAATCTCCCTCAAAGTGCTGAAGAGTCCTCCATTTCTCCAGCTTAGGTATAAGCTAACCATTAGCTTTCAAAAAGTACAAGCTTGATGGTTTACCCTAGGGGGAAATCAAGTAGGAAAATGGCAATCCTTTCTTATTACAACCCAAAGGGGCCATCGGATCACCACAGGGGGTGATAAGGAAAGTTAACGAAGTATGAGATACTCTTTATGATTCATGTAGTTTGAGCCTGTTGTTCCTTTTTATTTACTTGCCCTTTCATGGGTACCTCAAACACTTAATCTTGTATTGTCATATTTGTATGACGGCTGCTATATCATTTTTTAACACTTAATCTTGTATTGTTGTATTTGGCTAATGGCTGCTGTATCATTTCAGAGGTAATTATATTAGCATAACTAGATAGTTATTATAATTCATTTGACATGTGTCTAACATTGTGACTAACATTACAGGACGCAATGAATCATCATGGGCATTTTCAGAAGGATCAAGAAACATAGATTTCTGTACGCCAGAGGTAATGTTAAAATATTCTTTTTATTGCCACTTTCAGTTTCATCTTTCCTTCTAATTGCAAGATTGATTATCTTTTATTCTTTGACTTTCATATATCTTACCTTTTCCATATCCCTCTGTCCTTTTTTATTTTAATTTTTTATGAATCTTCTTTTTCTTATGTATAAGAAATCATCAATGTGTTTATGTTGTGAGATTGCTATTGATACTCGTTTTTCCAGTCTTCTTATGATTGTGAAAATCCAAAAGAGTCTGAATCTCCACGCTTTCAAGCTATACTTCGAGTCACAAGTGCTCCTCGAAGGAAGTATCCTGCGGATATCAAAAGTTTTTCCCATGAACTAAATTCAAAAGGTGTACGACCTTTCCCACTCTGGAAGTCACGTCGTTTAAATAATTTGGAGGTGCTTTCTTTTCTTTGTGTATTACATTTTCTAGCTCTGTTGTAAATTATGCTTTCTGAAGCTTATGTGTTTGTAATCACATTTTTTTGCAGGAGATCTTAGTTATGATACGAGGAAAATTTGACAAGGCAAAGGAAGAAGTAAATTCTGATTTGGCCATTTTTGCTGCTGATCTGGTTGGAATTCTTGAAAAAAATGTTGATACTCATCCAGAGTGGCAAGAGACCATTGAAGACTTGTTGGTTTTAGCTCGAAGCTGTGCCATGTCATCTCCTGGTGAATTTTGGCTTCAGTGTGAAGGCATTGTTCAGGAATTGGATGATAGACGCCAAGAACTTCCTCCAGGCATGCTGAAACAACTTCATACTCGAATGCTGTTCATTCTCACTAGATGTACCAGGCTACTACAGTTCCATAAAGAAAGTGGGTTAGCAGAAGATGAGAATGTTTTTCAGCTTCGTCAATCACGAAATCTGCATTCTGCCGATAAACGTATTCCTCCAGCTATGGGAAGGGAAATGAAAAATTCTAATGCAGCCAAGGCTTCTAAGGCAGCTTCATCCAGGAAATCTTACAGCCAGGAGCAGCATGGCTTGAACTGGAGCAGAGAACACGACATGCTGCCTAGGAATAATGTCTCTGCATCTTCTGATGATACTTCAAAGAAGTTGGAATCTCCTACTGGCAGAGATCGGATGGCTTCTTGGAAAAAATTGCCTTCTCCGGCAGCCAAAAGTGTGAAAGAACCTACTTTGAAGGATAAAGGTGATAATAAGAGTTTTAAATCTTTGAATGTGCCAAAAATCAGGACTGATGTTTCTGAAACTGTTTTTGCTGCTGCAAATGAGCTTCCTCTGCCAAGAGATTCTCATGACCAGCCTACCAAGCACCAACATAAACCTTCTTGGGGTTGGGGTGATCAACCATCTGTATCTGAGGAGAGTTCAATCATTTGTCGCATTTGCGAAGAAGAGATTCCTACTGCAAATGTGGAAGACCATTCAAGAATTTGTGCAGTTGCTGATCGATGTGATCAGAAGGGTATAAGTGTTAATGAACGTCTACTCAGAATTGCTGAAACTCTAGAGAAGATGATTGAGTCCTTTTCGCAAAAAGATTCTCAACATGTAGGAAGTCCAGATGTTGCAAAAGTTTCAAATTCTAGTATGACTGAAGAATCTGATATTTCCCCGAAACATAGTGATTGGTCCCGCAGGGGCTCAGAAGACATGCTCGATTGCTTCCATGAAACTGAAAATTCTGTTTTCATGGATGACTTGAAAGGTTTACCTTCCATGTCTTGTAAAACTCGTTTTGGTCCAAAGTCTGATCAGGGTATGACAACATCATCTGCTGGTAGCATGACTCCTAGATCTCCTTTATTAACACCAAGAACCAGTCCGTTTGACTTGTTTTTGGCAGGGAAAGGTGCTTACTATGAACACGATGATCTTACACAGGTATCCATTATGTCAATATTCATTCCTTTTGGACATTTTATAATCACAAAATATACTTTTTTTTTTTTTTTGCTTGTTTGAGATATTTGAAGAGCCAAAATATAGTAAAGGAAACAAACCATAGTGTAGATATTTTCTCCAGTTAGCAATAAGTTAATTTATTATTTTTCCCAACTTATATTTTTGATGACAAGAAACAATCTTAATGGAAAACCCTCTGTATCTCAGCAGAAAAATGTTATGAACGAAGAGTTACAACAGTATACAGAGTAAAAACTCTAAAAGGAACAGTGAAAATAAACTTTATTTAAAAATTAGAATAAAGCTTTGCAACTCTATAAATAGCTGCTTGGGCAAACTTAATTCCTTCTTTACTTCCAAGAAAAACACTTATTTCTTGGAAAATCTTGGTTCCTTCTACCAAAATTCTCCAAAACAAAGCTTTTATTGTGTTGAACCACAAAACTCTCTCTCTCTCTCTCTCTCTCTTTTTCCTGAGATCTTGTCCGCTGAAAAGTTGGAGAATATTATTTTTGATTGAAGCATCCCCAAGATAGTCCTAGATCTTGTTGGACATGAGCCTATAAGTCAGAACTAAAAGTTCTTTTCTATGAAAAGAGCAACTTTCATTGAGAATAAATGAAAGAATACAAGAGGGCAATATAAAGAAAGAAAAAGGAAGCCCAAGCCAAAGGAGCCAGAAAAAACAAACAAAACCTAGAAAAAAAATTGCAGAAATGAGCTCTAATTCAAAAGAATGATAGGTATAGGATATATGCTGAAGTCCAAAGACGCCCAAAGGGAACATTAAACTTAGCCATGGCCCAAACATCCTACCAAGAAATTTCCTTGTCAGTAATTCTCTCACTTTGAATATTCCATAAAATCTTGAAAAAAGTAGTCCGCCAAAGAAATGCCCCTCCATCATGAAGGGGGGTGGGACAAAACCTTCTCCATCACAAACAGTCGTGCACAGACACTGTCCTAGATTGCTGAAGCAAACTAATAGCCCAACAAAACATGATCCAATCATTCCAAGGCCTTTTTACACACCCTACCCCACTGTAGACTCAACAGAATGGAAGATGATCTCTAAATACTATCCGTGGTGATAATCCTCCTGTGGGTAATCTGCAAAGCGAAAAATCTGACCACGTAAAAAATTCAAAGCTTTCAAACAAGGAGAACAAACACACCGTGGGAGGGTTGTCACACAAAATGGAGAAAAAGAACATAAAAATTCTCAAGAAGGGTTAGGAGACCACAAACCAATATCCCTAACTGTCGGTGAGGACCATGGCCAGTAAAGAAAAGCGAAGAGACATCCACAGATTCATGATTAGACAAAGGCTGATAAAACCCAAAGTTCAAGAACAATGAAACAATGAGCGAGGAACATCATCTGCTGCTTTTCCACAAAGCACATAACAGCTAGGCAAAAGAGTCCAAGAGGGACAACGCTTGTGAAGTTTCTTTGGCATGAGCATATTATACTTTCATGTTTTGAATGGTGGTAATCTTTCAGTCCTTCGTAAGCTATGGAGAATTTGATGTTGTTCTTTCATATTAAAATTTCTCTGTGTAACATTGAGTTTCCTATAAAACTGGAAATACTGTTTTTGTGATGAGCATAGTTGTCACTAGCTCAAGGTTTACGAATAAGTTATTGTCCACTAATGAGCTAGGACTGTCTATCTTTGCAGATCAGTGATCTTGCAGATATTGCACGCTGTTCAGCAAATGCTCCTCTGGGTGATGATTGCTCGATGCAATATCTGTTGACGTGCCTTGAAGACTTGAGAGTTGTCATTAACCGCAGGAAGTTTAATGCACTGACAGTTGAAACTTTTGGCACTCGCATTGAGAAGTTAATACGGTGTGTAGCTTTGCAGGATAAATTTGATTTTTAAAGTAATATGCACTTCACCACGTGTTGGCATTCGATTGTCAACGTTTTATATTGGCTCCCTTCATGCTAAATTTCTTTAGAGTGTTCTCTCAAATGTGTATACTGCCACAAACTTATCTCGACTTTTGATGAATGGTGATTTCATAGGGAGAAGTATTTGCAGCTTTGTGAGCTGGTGGGTGATGAAAAGATTGACATAGCGAGCACTGTTATTGATGAAGATACTCCTCTAGATGATGACGTTGTTCGTAGCTTAAGAACAAGTCCCATCCATTCTTCAAAGGACCGTACATCAATTGATGACTTTGAGATTATAAAACCTATCAGCCGTGGGGCATTTGGCCGGGTTTTCCTGGCTAAAAAGAGGACAACGGGGGACCTTTTCGCAATAAAGGTTAATTTTCACACTGACACTTGAACAATGTTTCCAACATTGTATCTTGTTTTTGGTCTCCCTTTTTTCGTGGTCTATCTTGTGCTTGTGATGGGTTTATTATTATTTTTGTTTTGATAAGAAATAATTTCATTGATGTATGAAAGTTACAAAAGGTAGATAATTAATGAGAATTACAAAATGCATTTCTAGTTGATTAATTAGGGACCATAACTATATGAATTACAGACCTTAGACAATTTACATCAAGATATTGTATAGAAAATTACAAGATTGAAGAACGCTTCAAAAAGTTTCTCCTTGTCTCTAAAGACTTTGATTTCTTTCCTTCCGAAGGACTCAAGAAAAAGATCAAGGCATGTTCATCCACAGCGAAGTTTTGGCTTTCCTTAAGGGGTGGTTCTGTGTTTGCTCACTTTGTTTATAATTTACATAAAGAGCACCAACTAGGGGAAATGGCCTTGTATGGCATCTGTTTTTAGAGGAGGTCTTTGGGGATGGCTCGATGAGAGATTGAAAATTGGTCTCTCCAAATAGCTTTAGCCAAAAAATAATGCAATAGATCAACTGAATTGCCCATATCGTTTAAGAGAGATTTGGTGGAGAAGATACCATTTGGGTTAGCTAAACATATACATAGGTCTTCCCTTTGTGAGAAAACAATTGGAGAGTGCAAAAGAAAGATCCACTCATTCAAGGGCTTCTTTATCCTTCAAATTCCCACCAAACGTTAGATTCCAAAAGCTTATTATTGGGTTTCACACTTCCTTGACAGTGGCATGTTTACAATTCGACTCCCTATATTGGGGGGGTAGTTATTGTGAAGCCAATGGAGCCATAGATAACCATGGGATGTCTTGGAAAGGAGTTGTTGATCCATCTCCCACATGATAGTGAGTTTTGCTTGTAACAAGGCTTTGGTGCTTAATAATGGACATCTGAGGCCTCTTGGCATAGTTTAAGGAGAACCATTCCAAATATCAAGATGATCTATTTATCTTTAATAAGCTTCCTCCAAATATTATCTTTTCCAAAATTGTATCCCCATATCCATTTTGCAACGAGTGCTTATTATTATTAGTTTTTTCTCTCAATGCTTGAAGGCCAAGATCACTTCCTGTAGAATTTTGCTCGACATATTATAAAGAGAGAGATAATAAGTTGGGAGATAAGCAAGTGTGGCTTAGAGAAGAGTGAGTCTACCTCCCTTGGAAATAAAGGATGATCCCTATGATGACATCCTCTTCTTGATCTTTTCAACAATAGGGGCCCAAAAACAAACGTGGTTTGTGGTCTCATTTTTTATTGCTTTTAGGGTTGATAGTAGGCAGAATTTATTTCAAATGTGAGGTAATCACTGACGGCCAAATCAAAATCTTGTGACAATGTGGGATGCGACCATCTTTTTGGTCATGATTTTGAATGCAATCTAAGAACCTTTACTGTTGAAAAAAAGCTGGAGGAGCGGCGGTTAGAAAATGTCATAATATAATGACTATATGAGCTTTCTTAGTGGAACATTGTTTGTTTGTCATCTAACCTTAATTTTTATCATTACTTGCAAGCTAGATCTTGCTTATGATTTGTTATTCCCTCTGTAAATTAGGTATATATTTTGAAATTATAGGACTTGAATGTCTTGATTAATTTTTATGTGAGCAACACCAGGTTTTGAAGAAAGCTGATATGATTCGAAAAAATGCTGTTGAAAGTATTCTGGCAGAACGTGATATTTTAATATCTGTGCGCAACCCTTTTGTGGTGAGCTTGTCTATTTGGTCATATAAGTTATGTCTTGTTTTCTTTTTTGTTTTATTTTAGTAATAAAGTTAAAATCGTATCAGGTTCGCTTCTTCTACTCCTTTACTTGTCGTGAAAATTTATATCTCGTGATGGAGTATTTGAATGGAGGAGATCTTTACTCCTTGTTGAGAAATTTAGGCTGCTTAGATGAAGAGGTTGCTCGTGTATATATCGCAGAAGTGGTATGTATATGTTCCTTTTCATCTTTCATTAGGTCTGGAAAGTGAAAACACTTGTCAGTATTGCGAACTTAATATTTACTTGTTTCTTTAACTTTTCAGGTTCTTGCTTTGGAGTATTTGCATTCACTCGGGGTAGTTCATCGTGACTTAAAGCCGGATAATTTATTAATAGCACATGATGGTCATATTAAGGTAACTAATGGTTGTGAATATGTTTACTCTAATAACTTACTTAGGCTGGTTCATCATCTTCCTTCCACATGGTTTTCCATTTAAAATGTTGATGTCAACTCCAAAGGATAAAGCCCCAAGAATGCGGGTATCTTATTTTCTTTTTGGGAAGGTAATTTCAAGTAGGACGTTTATTTGTTCTTCTTGCTATTTTCTTTAACCCGTTGGTATTATAATCAAATCCATCGTGATGGTGTCTTTTGTCCTCTATCTTTGCTGGTTATTCGGGTTATAATATTTGTAACAATTTGGGAGGCCATTACGTGGGATTAAGGCCTTTTCTCTTTAGTCTACCTTTGAGAATCTTGTTCATTTTGTTTTGGACTTTTCATATATTCTCAACGGCCAATCAAAAATTATTTTCTTCTTAGAAAACATACATTTGACTACTATCAATGAAATTTTTGCTTCTCATTAAAAAAAAAAAACAAAAACAAAAAACAAAAAACTTCTTTGTTACTTACAGAAGTTATTTTGCTTCATGTAGCTGACAGATTTTGGGCTTTCCAAAGTTGGTCTTATCAACAGTACTGATGATTTGTCTGGACCAGTTGTTAGCGGTATCACTCTTCATGGGTATGATGAGCCTACAATGTCTGCTTCTGAGCATCAACAAGAAAGACGAAAGAAGCGTTCTGCTGTTGGCACTCCAGACTATTTGGCACCAGAGATACTATTGGGAACTGGACATGGTTCGTATAGACCTTTTTTTTTTTCATTAAGGTGGTATTGTAATCTTTTAGCTATCTTGAAGCTTTTCTTTTTCTTTTTTCTTTATTAATCTTTCGTTAACTAACTCATCATGAACGTGCGGTTAAAACCTGAAGTGTGTGAAGGTTTCTCTAGGTTGTTGCTAATATTTCTACGACGTGAAGTTCGATAATTAGAATCTAGATTATAGTTGCAAATTATTCTACTTCTATTGAAACTGTCAACTCTGAATATTCTCCCTTCTTTATGCAGGTGCCACAGCTGATTGGTGGTCTGTCGGGATCATTTTATTTGAGCTAATTGTTGGAATTCCACCCTTTAATGCAGAGCATCCCCAGGTTTGATTCTTGCCGTAAAATGTTTTTTTTTACTGTTTTCCTCTTTTCAGTTGGATCCTTTCAGTTGCCATCAAGATGTGGGGTGGGTTATTCTTCTACTGATCACTCTTTTTTTTAGTTTGCAACTAGGTCTTCTTATATATTTAGTTTATATTAATCTCTTTCATATTAACTTTCTCATTTTCCCCCCCTTTTTTCTTTACCTTTACTTCACTCCGTGGCCTATTTTATTCGGAATTGATTATTTGAAAATGAAGTTTCGAGTTCCTTGCATGAAAATAAAGTTTCAAGAGAGGATTTGATCTGGCCCAGATTATGATTAGTTGTTATATTCAAATTTGCAAAGAAGAGGGTAGTTCGTGACCCTAGATTTCTACTTATCGCTATTAATCTATTTCATATTAACTTTCTCAATTTACCCCCCTTTTTCTTTACCTTTACTTCACTCCGTGGCCTATTTTATTCGGAATTGATTATTTGAAAATGAAGTTTCGAGTCCCTGCATGAAAATAAAGTTTCAAGAGAGGATTTGATCTGGCTCAGATTATGCTTAGTTGCTATATTCAAATTTGTAAAGAAGGGGATAGGTTGTGTGACGACCCTAGATTTCTACTTAACTTAAAATCATTATTGTATACATAACGCAATCATTTTATGTAGAAATAATCATTTGAAACTTCATCGTCATAAAACACTGCCTATGGACTTACTTGTTCGATAACATCTTTAAAACAACATAATGATTACTAAATAAAATAAATAAACATTAAAGTAAGAACACCCTATTCTAACTTAAAGTCTAAGAAATTAAATACCACTATTCTATGCATGTGCCATGGTCTAGGCTTGCGATGTCGTCGTCAGTCGTACAATGACCCCACTATTGGGGTTAGATGCAAACACATGCAATCATGAACGGGACCTATCATTTCAATCCGTATTCCCTTAGGTGACCATCCTAAGCGGGTAATTGGATGTTTGCCTCTTGGCCCCCTTTGGCTCCCAAATCCTTGTTATTGTGGTTCATTATAGTGTTAGCCATCCATTCGGTCCATTGTTTTATTAGAATTGAAAGAATTGAGAGGATTTTAATTTCAAGCATCCTTCTAACTTTTTGTCTTAATTCGTCTCTTCATGTGTTCTCTTTCTAAGTTTCTCTGCTGCCTTTTCTTTTCAGGTTTTATGTCTTTTTTTTATTTGTGTTGTAGTTTTCTTGTTTTGGTTGTTTTTCTTCTTTCCATTCCAACCTTGTCTCGTGGACATCTCTATTTGTAGTGTTCATGTGATTTGTTATTTAGAATTCCGTAATTTTTAAAGATATTTTATGGTTTAATTTTACTCTTAACTTCATTTCTTTGTACAGACTATATTTGATAACATTCTCAACCGTAAGATCCCGTGGCCTCAAATACCTGAAGAGATGAGCCACGATGCTCAAGATTTAATTGATCGGTGGGAGAATCATTTTTTTATTATTTTCAATTATATTCTTTTGGTTTATTTGTCTACTTAGATGTTGAAATTTTCTTACCTTTACACGCACATCATTTTTTTATTATCGAAGATATCCTAGAGGAACGAGTAGGGGGTGGACTTAGACCAACAAATTTTTTTGTATTGTACACACACGTCAACCCGAAAACAAAGGATTGCAAAAGAAAGAAAAAGATTTCTCGAATTCGTGGTCAAAAGTAATCATAACTAAAAAAGAGAAAAATTGGAAAAAGTAATGGAGCTAACAAGATTGAAACGTCTCCACAAGCACATGTCTAATACCCGTTGACACTCCGTCTTTCCTCGTTTGCCTATGCTCATAATATTAGTAACTAGAGGCCTATCATATTGCTACAAGGTTTTGGATTTTTATTAATTATATGTTGTTGGTTATGCAATATGTATTCGTTCTCTATCAGATTATTGACTGAAGATCCTCACCAGCGACTTGGAGCTATAGGCGCACATGAGGTGATAACACGATTATTTACTTGTTTCCTTGGTGCCCTTTGATCTTTCATTGATGCTTACACCATAGGAGCCAATTTATTACTCAGGTGAAGCAGCATATGTTCTTTAAAGATATTAACTGGGACACGCTTGCCCGACAAAAGGTATTGTATTGCTAAGTTTAAGGCTTCTCAATGGTGTTCTTTTTCTAATTTATTTGATTCTTATTCCTGTAACGACATTTTGGGGTGCCTTAATCGACTTTTCTTCAATTTCTTTGTTCTTAGTTTTGCATTTTTGTATTTTTCACTCGTTTTTGTCGTTGTATCTTGAACATTTTATCCTTTTCATTAATCAATGAGAAGAAACAACTTCGGAGGTAGGTTGTAGCTTCGTTTTATGGATCCGTAAATTGATAGATCGATTTTCAAATTTTCTCAGGCTGCATTTGTTCCAACATCTGAAAGTGCTCTTGATACTAGTTACTTTACAAGTCGCTACTCATGGAATCATTCAGATGATCATGGCTATCCACCCAGTGAACTTGAGGATTCAAGTGATGCTGATAGCTTAAGTGGTAACAGTAGTGTGAGCAATCGTCAAGATGAAGTGGTAATTTACTCGCATCATTTGAATTACATTTGTTCATTTAGAACTCCTTAAACCGATCCTAATTGTGCTTATTTTTATTCATGTTCCTTGGCATATCATGAACAGGTTGATGAATGTGGGGGCCTTACAGATTTTGAGCCTGGTTCTTCTGTCAATTACTCATTCAGTAATTTCTCTTTCAAGGTATCCGCTTTAAAATTATTAGTCCTGCAGTTTATGACGAATTCCTAGTTTTCCAGATTTCTGTCAAATACCTTATACACTGTTAGATCGTTGGGTGAGAGTCCCACATTGGCTAATTTAGGGATTGATCATAGATATGTAAGTAAGGAAATACATCTTTACTGGTACGAGGTCTTTTGGGGAAGCCCAAAGTAAAGTCATGAGAGCTTATACTCAAAGTGGACAATATCATACCACTCTGGAGAGTTGTAATTCCTAACATGGAATCAATGTCATGCCTTTAACTTAGCCATGTCAATAGAATTCTCAATTGTCGAACAAAGTAGTTGTGAGTCTCGAATGTGTAGTCAAAAGTGACACAAGTGTCGAACAAAAGGTGTACTTTGTTCGAGGACTCCAGAGGAGTTGAGCCTCAATTAAAGGGAGACTCTATAGTGTACTTCGTTCGAGGGGAGGATTGTTGGGAGGGAGTCGCATATTGACTAATTTAGGAATTGATCATGGGTTTATAAGCAAGGAAATACATCTTCGTTGGTATAGGAAGCCTTTAGGGAAAGCCCAAAGCAAAGCCACGAAAGCTTATTCTCAAAGTGGACAATATCATACCATTATGAAGAGTCGTAATTCCTAACCCTGTTTACCGAGTATTTGTGGAACATTCTTTACACTCCTCTCTCACGTTCTCTCTCTCTGTCGTGCCCCTTTTCTTTGTTTCTTAGAAAATATATGATTCTTATTAAGAATGAATTTGGAAACATGACATTTTCCTCTGTTACAATTCATCCTTGTTTATGTTTCCTTGTAATCAGAATCTCTCCCAGCTTGCATCCATCAACTATGACCTGCTTTCTAAGGGTTTGAAGGATGATCCTCCCGATCACGATGCATAACTGTGTTAATCCTCGCACGTCTGCCAAATGCTTTCTGGCTATTGGTTCGATGTTCTTCCCTGTTTTGTATCTGCAATGTTCTGTACATGTACGTCTAAGTTTTTTCCCCTACATGCTTTAACTACTTCATTTGTGATCAGTGTAGTGATTTTGATCATCTTTATAACTGCAGAGACAGAAAAGTTTTAGAAGCTAAAGCTGGTTTGTGATGCTCTCTTTCAAATTACAGACGCCATCTTCAAACCAGGTGGCTTTCGACTTTCGTTTTCCTGTTCACTGTGTTTCTCTTCCTTCTCTCCACCCTCAAATGAGTTCCGAACTTGAAAAATTCCATTGCTTAAATGGTTCCCTTAACGTGTATACCTGTTTTCTTAGACAATCCATACATTTATGTATTCATAATATATATTATATATCAAGGAGAAGCATAATTGTGTACAGCATTTTCTTTCATATCCTCACTTACCCCCCCCCCCCCCCCCCCCCC